AAACATTTCGATGAAGTGGGATTCGAACCTACGTCCACATTCACGGACCATAACTCTCAAACCTCCAGATACAGGAAAGGAAAAAAAAAAATATCTGTCAAACGTTCAAAAAACGAATTATGCACACCAAGATTACTGAGGAGAAGGATTAGACTTTTGTTGAAAAACGAAGGCAATAAAGAGATCTAGCAAACGGTATTTGCTTTTCTCAATGATTTGGTATTTGCTTTTCTCAATTAGCTATCAAAGAGTAGGATAAATATATACCATAAAACTTAACTGCCAGTGCAATAAGTGCTTCAGTACCATGTGTATCTAAGTGGAACAATAGACCGAGGTTCGCATTTTCAAAGTAAAAAAGTTTTACTAATTCTTTGGTCGCTTTTATTCAGCAAATTGGTAAACCTTTCTGGACTTGCCTCGTGTTAGATCTGTTCACGATTTTGCCAAGACTGAGCAAAACAGTTATAGAAATAGAGAAGATTGGATAAGATTGTTTCTACTTTATTTTCAGATGATTTAAATATGATTATACAAACCGAAATATTGGTTAATTTGGTCAGCAACAGAAAATATTTGTCACCTTCTTATATAAAACTAACTCGAAATCCTTTTTTAACATGATAGATCTTTGTTGAATTTTAACTTAAAACTGTAGAAGTGTTATTTAAGGGTATTGTGGAATAAAATGAATAATTTGATTTGAGGACATTCGAAAACTTAAATTTATTATTGTATTGTCGATAAAAATTATTTTTATTTAGGACCCTTTACGTATTAAAGGATTTAAAAAATAAAAGAAGAAAAAGGTAGACATACAGAAGTCAAAGAATTAAATACACATTTTTGTTTTATATTAAATGTTTTTAATTACAATTATTAAATATACGGATTAACAAATTAAATTATTAAAAGACTGCGGAAGTTAAATTTATAAAAACATATATTTGTCAAGCACAAAAAAAAAAAAAAAAAAGGCAAACACATTCTGAAGCTGATTTTTTTACATATATTTTTAATAAAACATAATAAAATACTTTTTCAAATATTTATAAAACAACATAATATGCTGTAATTCAGAAAAATTGCTGAATATTATTAAATTTTACTTATTTTATTATTACATGTTAATATATGAAATTTAAGTTTCGGCTTAGTTTCTTACTTCCTTTCGCTTGTTAATTTTGCTTATTTAAACTTGCTACAACCTAATTTAATTGCAAATCCGAGCTAATAATTCGTCTAGTTTAATCGCAAATTTGAGTTGATATATATGGTTGAATACTGTTAGACATGAATTTTTAATCTAACCAAATAAAATGTGGTGACCTATCTCAGAAATATTTTGTTCCTTCAATATTAGCCGCTATAAATATCCCTGCAGCAGCGATAAATTACCAAGATTACAATTATCTTCAGAAGTGATTTCATTTGCAAGCGAATCTAAGAAACATTTTATTCGATGCGAATTAACTAAAAATTTTTAGATCTCAGTTGTGATTGAATTGCCGTGCTTCTAGAAAGAACTTAACTACTTATTTTGAATATATTTTACTGATGTTAGAAATATCCTTAGCAGAACATCATCCAAAACATTTGGAGCGTTTTGCTATGTTACGCTATTGCGCATTTATCATCTACAATGGCTCATAAAAATGTGTTCTACATTTACGACTTTCAGTGCAATATTGCTTTCTTCATTAATAAAAATTAATATTTGAGAATGAGAATTTTTTAAAAACATCTATAAATTTCTCTTAGCCAAAATACAATTGTTATTTCGTTAACATAGTAAAACTTCTATCTGGAAAAATCAGTAATAAAAAAGTAGCAGGAAAGTTACCGCACAAAAGTTTTCCTGCACATATTAGTAAATATTGTAGTATTTCTATTAGTTAGTATGTTGAAGGATATCCTGCAGCACTTATGACCGCTTTCAAACGTCTGAACACAGAGTTCACCATTCGTTTTTGGTAATATCTGCATCAATGTTCTCCCCATTTGTCCATTATTTCTGGTTTTAGTTCGGTTTACGTTTTCATGTTGTGTCATCGTATTCTAACCCGTAATTATCTCAAAATGAGTTCTATCGAGTTTTAATCTAGTGAGTGAGGTGGTGTATTTAGAACTTGTGGATAATTATAGACACACCAAAGGCGAATGTTGAGGGCCATATATGCTTAGGATCGTTATCCTGATTTTAAAAAAAAAAAAAAAAAAAAAAAAAAAAGGTTTCTAATACCTAAATTTTCGGAGGATAATTTTAAATTATTTTTTAAATATTTAAATAAACAGCATGGTTCATTATGCCATCAGTAAATACGTACTAAATTACCTAATCCTGATGCTGACATTCACCGCCCTCACAAAGACATATGCACCGCCATGCCTTACTGTATACCAACCAAGATCTTGGGATGAAGTTCTTCATTTCTTTTCTCCACAAAATTATGTTCTCATCAGAACCCAAAATGTTAAATTTGCTTTCATCTGCAAATAAGACATGGTTTAACATTGATTTTGCGAATGAAAGAAGAAGCTTTCCATTTTTTGTACATACAAATATTTTCTTCGAGCAAAGCGTCCATGTAAAGCAGCTGATCTGAATACTCGTCGAAAAATTTCATGTGAAATTGAAATAGAAAAGTTTTCAGCAAATTCTGTAGAAATCTTCACAACACTAAAACGTGGACTTTTCACAAAATTTCAAACTGTAAATCTGATCACGTTAAATTAACTTTGGCGGACGACGTCTTCTGACTTTCTTTTCGATTCAATTTTCTTCTTTAAAGCATCACATACTGCACCGTAGAATCGGATAAATTTACTAATTTAGTGATATCCTGGATCTATTTTCCACCATTATGATTCATCAGTTTTCCAGAGATATTTGTTGTTTCTTTACGACTACGACAAATTTTTAAATATTAATTAAATTATAAAATAGCAAGCAAAGAATAAAGCCAAACAAATTTTTAAACATCATCAAAGTGCCAAAAATAAAAGTGCCAAAAAAGGCAAACACATTCTGAAGCTGATCTTTTTACATATAATTTTAATAAAACATAATAAAATACTTTTTCAAATATTTATAAAACAACATAATATGCTGTAATTCAGAAAAATTGCGGAACATTATTAAAACATTATTCTGAAGTGTCAGACTATAATTTTATTTATGAAATTTTACGAAAATATTTTGGTGTACGATGACTTTTGCGGTGTGATTTATCTATGACTCTTTACATTTTCAATTTTAGGAAAAGAACATAGGTCAATATTGAAAAAAGGAAAGCTTGGTTTTATTCAAACTCGCATGGAGATGATATAAAAAAAAAATATTGGGCTTTATATTGGAACTTGGATTCCGGGCTATAGCGCTTTTTCTATAAATTCTTAAACTGTCCGAATACTTTTGGGAGCCACTATAAATGCATTTCATTCCGCGAAGCACTGTATTGTCTCCATATACAGTGTCTTTCAAAAGTGTTCGTAGATTTGTAGTTCATCAATTTGTAGAAAAAGAGCTATAGCCCGGAATTAAAATTCGAATATAAAGCATATTTTTATATCCCCTCCATGTGATTTTGAATAAAACCAAGCTTTTAAATTTTAATACTGACTTATTTCCTTTTTCTAAAATTTAAAATGTAAGGAGGCCTACATAAAACACGCTACAAAAGTGTTCGTTCACCAAAACATTTTCGTAAGATTTGATAAATAAAATTATCGTCTACCACTCTTTTTTTTAATTTTTGCATTTTGGAGATGTTTAAAAAAGTGTTTGGCTTTATTTTTTGCTTTCTTGCTTCGTTTTATTTTATTTAATGTTTAAAAATGGCTCGTAGTCGCAAGGAAACAACGAACAGCATTCGAAAATTGACCACATTTTCATCATAAGGATGGAAATTTGATTTAGGATATCGCTATATTAGTGAATTTATCCCATTTTACGGTGCAGTATGTGATAAAATGCTTTAAAGAAAAAAATCAAAGAGGTTGTCCGACAAAGAATGACTCGACGTGACTCAGCGTGATCAGATATTTATAGTTAGAAAATCTGTGAAAGAAACCACGTTTAAGTGTAGTGATCTCTACAGAATTCACAGAAAAATTTTCTACTCTAATTTCAATTAAAACTGTTCGACGAATACTCAGATTAGCTGGATTACATGGGTGCACTGCTCGAAGAAAATTTTTTGGAAGTACAAAAAATAGAAAGCTTAAGCTTTTCTTCTCAAACTCAATGGTAAATAAGACCAAAGCGTATTGGAATCCTGTCTTATTTTCAGAAGAAAGCAAATTATAACATTTTTGGTTCAGACGGGAGTATAACTGTATGGAGAAAAAAAATGAGAAGCTTAATTCCAAGACCTTGTTTGGAACAATAAAACATGGCGGTGGAGGTGTTCTTGTGTGAGGGTGCATGTCAGCCTCAGGATTAAATAATTTAGTATTTATTGATGGCACAATAAACCATGATCTTTATTTAAATATTTTAAAAGTTAATTTAAAGTTATTCACCCAAAATTTGGATAATGGAAACAACTTTGTTTTTTATCAGGATAATGATAGCAACGTTCACCTTTTGGGTGTGTATAATTGTACGTAAGTTAGGAAAACACCCCCTCAGTCATCAGATTTAAAGCAAACAAAACACACTTGGAGAGAATTAGACGTTAAGGTACGAAGACACAACATTAAAACAAAATCCGAACTAAAACAGTAATGATGGAAGAATGGTGGAACACTGATGCAAATATTACCCCCCCCCCAAAAAAAAACTGCTAAGCTCTGTGTCCAGACGTTTGAAATCTGTCAAAAATACTGCAAGATATATTATAGAATACTAACTGATATAAATACTACAATATTTACTAATATGTGCAGATTTCATTAAAGCATACGAAGACTTTTGTGAGGTAACGTTTCTGTTTCTTTTTTATTTCAATTTTCCAAAAAAAAAGTTTTAACATGTTCATAAAATAATTAACATAATTTTTCTTAGAGATATTTATAAGTATTATTTACAAATTTTCATTCTACAATATAAATTTTTATTAATGAATAAAACAATATTTCACTGAAACTCGTAAGTATACGAAAACTTCTGTGAGCCTCTGTAGGTGATTATCAGTGCACAAGTCATCGGTAAGTTTAGGACTTGACAGGTTTTCGGGCCCTTCGATTTAATTTTCTTTTAATAATCTCTCTACATTTACTGTATTGCCTCATGTTGGTAACTCATGGCTTGATGCCTGACAGCTTCCTAGCGGTGTCCCATCATAAAGGCTCCTTCGCCTTTACGCCAATCGACCGCTGTTGATAGAAACAGAAACTTTCATAGTGGTGCCGCTGCATAAGGATGCTCACATCCTAATAAGAATGTTTCCAACTCGGAAAAAAAAAAAAAAAAAAAAAAAAAACATACATAAATTTGCAGACAATTTTATGCCGAGGTGTATGAAAGTAGATTTTAATTTGTTATTCGGATTAGCAAACAAGGAAAAATTCTACTCAAAGAGATTTTCGCAAGCATAATGGTACTCTGGCAAAAAGATGGCAGAACCATTATGAAAGATACTTTTTATCAGATTAGAAACTGATCTACATAAGGGTGCGGACACCAATATGCCGAAGCATCCTTACGAAGGTTTCTGTCTCTTAAACAGTGGCCACCTACACAAAAGTACATGCACCTTTATGACGGGGTATTGTTATGAAGGCGTTCCTTTGACGCATTGACTAACAGCCTTGTATCTTAAGAACCTATGCCGACAATCGTAACTTCCTAGAGACCGGCTGTCTGGAAAGGCATTGGTGTCTTTTATTTTATTAAAAAAAAAGAATAATAAAAAAAAAAAATAAAAAATAAAATAAAAAAAAAAATAAAGAAAAAAACCTCTTTATTAAATAGCGTTGACCTTAGAAACCCATCGATACATATGTTACCGGTGATCCATGACCCTGATGGTTAGCGGTATTTTTAGATTTTATTTTATTTTAATTATCTATCTAAATTTTCTACTGTGTTCGGTACGGGTGACGTCATCTTATAAGTCACTGATGAGTAATAGCCTCGACAATTAATTACGCTTTCATTTTAATTAATAATCTGTCTATCTGATATAATTTGAATGCATTTAATATACCGTATCTCCGACTGATAATATCTATGAGCATTTACAATATTACTGTAATTAGTAAAATATTTTTCTAACGTATTTTTTATTTGATACAGAATCATTTTTTAAAAAAATTATTTACTTAAATTTTACACATTGGTATTCAAAATTAAGAGAATTTCCCTCTTTGGTCAATTATCTCCAGAACTAAATGACAGATTTCAATGAAATTTCGTATGGACATAAGTTGATATAAGACAACGAACAACACATACCGTACACCAGTCAATGGTACACACGTATGATCGTGCGTAAAACTCATCGACATGGGAAGGTCTAAATTAAAGGTTACAAGATAGAACAAAAAAAAAAAAAAAAAAAAAAAAAAAAAGTTGTTATGGTCCTCTTTGACAACATACGAGTCCAATTCTCACAATGGTGCTAAGACAATTTGCAAATCCCTGTCGATCTCACTCCTACAATGTTATTTTCAAGTACTGAAAGGTTCTGAGAGGGCGAAGAGAAGTTGCATTTGCCTCTCTAAGAACGTCTCAGACATCTCTGTAAGGTTAGGTCTGAAGATCTATCTGGCTGGCCAGTGCATTCAGTTAATATCCTGTACTCCAGAAAATCATGCACTAGAGATTAGCTGTAGGTGAACATCTGTCGACATCCATAAAAACGAGCTGATAGCCGATTACACCCCTGAAAAGTTGAGCAAAGGCTTTAAGATCTCACGTGTTTACAAGAAGGCCTGTTTTTACTTCCCGCTCACTTCCGCGCAGAAGAGAGTCCGTTTAACGTTTTGCAGAGAACTTCGACATTGCAGCAAGCATCAACAGGGGACCATTCTCTTTACAGACGAATCTTGATTCATCCTAGCCACTGATTCTTGCCCTCTCCTTATCTGGAGAGAATAAGGCACCAACTACCTCTCCTTCAACATCCAAGAAAGGGACCAAGATATGGCCCGGAGATTTGATGGTCTGGATAGGCATCATGTTGGATGGCGGAAGAGACATTCAAGTCATTGGTTGAGATTTCTGTGAGGTATAAGGAAGATATTATAGAGCCCTACGTTTGCCTTTGCAGCTGTGCAGTTCAGTTGACACTTAGTTCATTTTTATGGACGACATCTCTCATCCCCATAGGGGTAATCAGATGAATAGTTTTCTGGAAAGTGAGAGGATATTAATCTCATGAATTGGCCAGCCCGATCTCCAAACCTAGGCTCAAACATATCTAGACATTCTTAGAAGGGCAATTGCTACTCTCCTTTCGTCTCCCAGAACCTTCTAGGATCTGAAAATAATTGTTGTTGCAGAAATATTACCAGCTGCCACGGGGACTCAAATTGCCTCTTACAGCATGAAGGAATGTTGTGTATGTATCATTGTTAGAGGGGACTCCACTCTCTATTGGCCTCCTTGTTTTAGTCGATTTTGCAATATTTATTTTAAGGCCTACTCTGCCCAAGAGCCTTACGCACAATCATACTTGCATACCGTGACTGTTATGTAGTGTATTTTTTGTATTAAGTCAACCTATGGCCACAACAAATTTCATTAATATCTGTTTATCAGAGTGAAAATTCTATTAATGTGTCCAAATGTGAAAATTATGTTCATTTTGAACAATAATGTATACAGTAGAACCTCGATTATCCGAAAAAATAAAAAGTAATGCTAGCTGGGATTAACTAAAATCTCAAATAATGTAGGAGGTCGTAAGCATTTCGAATAAAAAATTTTTACAGGTAAAATATATTCCACCAATTTATTTAGCATTCTAATCGCTTTTAAACTTTTTTTTAATTTTAATCTTAAAGGAATTTAATTACAGAAACGAAGAAAATTACCTTTTCCGACTCATTTTTTTAATATATTTGTTTAGAATGTAAGGAATACGTACTCTGATGTCTCACACTGAAGTTAAAATAATAAATGATAACAAACACTAATAATTAATTTAATAATTTCATGTCGTATTTTATTATTTTAAACTTTGATTTTGCTCATGTATGTCCAATGCATGATAAAAAATGTTCAAAGTTCTGTATATGTTTTTTTTTAATATATTGAAGCAAATTTTTGCAGATTTAAAAAATTTTTTGTTTAACATTCAAATTCACCATCCCAAAATTTCGAACTTTTCTTTCAAGGAGAGATCGGAAAATAATCTTCCAAAAGAAGTTTTCTGTAAACTCTAACAGTGACCTAATGCTGACTTAAGAAGAATTTTCCAAAATCAATGAATGACCTACCTACAATCACGGCTACTAATAATTATTGAGGAGCTGCTAGCAATAACGGATTTTAAATTAAAACATTCAAACGAACATTTAAGGGAATCAAATGTAATTCTACACCGCTGGACAGATCCGAAGACCATGTAAGAAAGATGGCGTCATGTTTCTAATTTTTTTACGCTTTGAGACATTTATTTTCTCTGTTTATTACTTTTTCTCTCTCTCCCGTATGGACTAAAAAGTTCAAAATACGGTATTACAAATTTCTAAGTTGCACTGTGTTCCATCTTCTTGAAGGTGAATATATAAAGTAAATTTGCTGCTGCCTAAGACCCAGTTGAAATTAAACGAGGATAATAAAAAAATACTTGCAGTTCAATAGTCATATTTATTATTGCTACTTAACTCAATCGAACAAATTGAAGAATAGCCAGTTAGTTAAATTAATTATCAGGAATAGTTATATTTTTTGATTTGCTGCCATCTACCATTTTCCAACATCAACTTAAAGAATTATACAATGAGATTTCGAGGAATTTAAGAAACTAAACTACCAGTCACTTAAAATAAATTCGTGATATTCTTTATCCTGCAAGTGCAGTACTTTCTGTTTACCTGCAGTTTACCTTAATTTCATTTATTTTCTGAGATAAAGTACGCAAGGTTTTTCCCCAGTCGAGGAAAAAGATTATTACTAAAAAGATTATTTTTTAGTTTTTTATACATTAAATTAACGTTTTTTCTGCAAAGTTTTGCCATAGCCATGGCATTAAAATGTCGAGAGGTTTCGTGCCTTCTTTCGTATCGTTAGTGTTGTGTATTTCTATTGCATTTGCATCAACTCTTTAAGAAATCTTTTGTGCAATTTTTCCTCGCGTTTGAAACTTCAAGACAAATTTTTCACTAATAGTATAAAAAATTATACATCGCAGGCTCTCTTTGACTATGACGGATCTTCGGTTAAACGCCTCGTGATCGGATAATCCAGATTCTACTGTTAAAATACTAAACAGAAATTGTGACAGAAAATATTGATTCAAAAAAATAAGAACAACTAACGCATTTCAGAAACTTAGTAGTAACTTGAACAGAATGATGAAAAATATACAATGAAAAATAAATAGGCGTCTCCCCTTTTTATGGCCCTCCACCTTTTATGACTAGAACCGAACCGTTCGATGCTTAGTCCTCCTTTTCGACGTACTGCATCAAATATTATGTATTTAAAAACAGATTTTTGTTCACTTTATTGTGCTACTTGATGTCAAAGCTTATGCTATTGACCTTAGAAATAATTTTAGTGAAATCGTTCCAAATTTTCAAACCATTACGTTATGTTACTACGCATTTATCATGATCTGTGAAAAGATGATTTCATAAGGGCATGAGACACACAAGTAATTATTAAAATGTATATTTATTTCTTTTAATTCGCTCAGTACTTTAAGTAATGCCGGTAAAATATGAAAGATAAATTAAAGATTTTACATTACATCGAATGATAATATTATGGAAACTAGTTATTTTCTAGGCTGCGAAGATCTTATCTGATCCGAAATAAATCCCCAATAAATTAAAGGTCTGAAAATTTGGTAACAGCTCTGAGAAATGGTAATTTATCAACTTGTGCGATTAAAGATTCCCTGCAAGAATGGCAGTGATTGTCAACATTAGTTATTTGCTAGACCACATGATCATTTAGTGATAGCATAGCATAAAGTGACATGACATAAAAAATAGAAAAATTGGTACTTTTCCATTTTGCCGGCGCAAGCTATAAAGTTGCCAAAAATGGTACAACCGAAGCCAAACGGAATTTCCTCGCTGGTAACCTTTTATGCCTCATTTTCAAAAATAAGTCGCAGTCATTTCTTATCAGATTAATTGTTCTTTCAATATTGGCATACAATTACATAGAATTTTTACCCAGATAGTTCAATTTTATGGCCCTAAGGCCATTCGCTGTAATTAGTTAATTAGGATGCAATCACACTGCTCATCCGAAGGCGAAAATATAGAAAATGCAAAGTCGAGGGTTAAATTCATCAGTTCTAATGAGAATGCACTAGCGAAGTAAAGTACTGCGGTTTTACATAATGAGTAAAATGCTATTTGTACTAATTGAAATAATTCTTGCATTAAAATTTGTATTCGAAATTAAGGTTTAACTTGAAATTAATGTAGATAATTATTGAGAGAATTAGATTTTTGTAGTGTAGTTTACGTGAGATGAGATCACTTGGGATCACATGATATGAAACGGCCAATCAGGATGTTGTACCATGAAAGCATCTAGTAAATTCTTAAATTAATGTCTTTTTACAAATTTATCAGCATTATTTATTGTCTTTTTACAAAATTTTAAATGATGTTAATTTTTATGTGTATACTGTGTGTTGTCGCCAATAAAATCTGCTTGGCGAGATTTGCGCCGGCGAAATGGAAAAGTACCGAAAAATTTAATAATAATGATGCTAACGTCAGACTCGGTTCACATTTTAAAAATTCGGGTGTTCGACAATACTGATAGCACAAAAATAGCATACATGAAAATGATTACATACAATGCTTGGGTCCTCAACGTCCTGTTAAAGAAAGAGGAGACGCCCATTTAACAGATAGTTACAGTAAAAGAGGAAAAAAAGCTAAAATACCTACCCATTATTTTAATTATATAATTCTTGCAATCTTCTGATTAGAGAAGGATTGCGGATATATTCTTCCAAATAGATTATCGTACATTGTATTAAAGTACGATAATCCATTTGGAAGACTACAGCCATCAATAAAGCCATCCCCCAGCCATAAAACTGTTGAGAAGAAAAAATAATATTATAAGTAATAATAGATTTAAATAAATCTGTTTCCATTTAAGATGAACAAAAATACTTAAATATGATTAAACTGAATATAGTTCGAAGAAAAGTTAACAACTATTCATTTGGAGTAATCTTTTGGGAATGAGAAAAATAAAAACGTTAATAATTATTGATCATTAATTAAAACACTTTTATTCTAAATACAATAATTTAAATTTAAGATTGCTAATTATAAAGAGACTCTTCTTAAAATTGTTAGCTATTATATTAAAATTTAAAGACTGGAGTTAAAATAGCAAAGAAATCATAAATTAAAAAAAAAAAAAAAAAATCTGAAATGTTTCAGATTTTAAATTACGTCCAAAGGGGCGTTTTTTAACATTTTGTGTGTTTACCTTTCTTTATTAAATATCATGTTCCTCGCACTTAAACCATAAGATCCAGTGCAACAGCAATATCGCAAAATAGTTTTTAAAACGAGCATATCTTTAGAATTTCCGATACAGAGACTCACGCGCTGGAGATAAAATGTTTTTTTTCTGCACAACGTTGCCATTGCTCGCTTTGAAATCCTTGAGTTTGTTAATCAAAAATTCGTCAAAGTTTTAAAAATAGGAAATCGATCATAAAAAAACAAATTTCAAATTTCAAATTTGGTCTTCCACATGCTCATATTCGTTGGAGGATTACGTTATTCAAAATTCGATGACTCTATGTACCGTTATTTTATGACAATGTGAGAATATACATACATTTACGCAGATTTTCATTATTTAATTTCTTCAAATATAAATGCAGGACTCTAACATTTTATGGCAACAGTTTGAAAAGTGAACCGACATTTATCCGTCCGACGCAAAATGCCAAAACGAAACTAAATAGTCCTTCGGGATTCAAATCCCTTTGGACTAAAAATTGTCTGTTAGTCTAATATAGAGCAGGCAATTCAAAAATAAACTTCATTTATACGTTCTGTCTATGAAAGCTTGATGTACTGCTACATATGGACAATAATGCAAGCTAATTACATATTAAACTTTCTGACATTATTGTCATGACTATGGCTGAACAAAATTTACACCGCATTAATCGAAATCGTAATTTTCATCGGTTCTTCGGATTAATTATGAAGCGCAACATTATTCATGAAGCGCTGAAAATACAAAAAATCTGAAAGTGAAAAATCAAGATATAAATAAAACGAACTTACATATCTTAAAATTTTGCTTAATTGGTTTCCTTTTTTCTGAACTTCCACTGCATTTACAAACAGACTTTTGCTCTTATCAGTACAATAAATCCATGTGCGTCTATTAAAATATCTCCATTTCTAAAAAAATAAAAATAATGCATTAAGAAGAGTAAAATATTCACTGACAATAAATGCTTTATGTATAGTTCAGTAATCGTATTTATTCTTTTATATACCCCATAACAAAGTGAGAAGTTAAAACAGAAAATTCGTTTGAAATTATTAATGTTTCTTGTCAAGAAAAAAGCCCGTCAGCACAGCTTTCATGAAATTGCAGCTCGTCGCTCGGTGATGGATCTGATCCGTAAACCTTATTTTCCAGGAGAGATACATAGAACATGGCAATACAGATATCTTTATAACGATACGAAGATTGGCAAAAAATATGAATTAGATAGACTTCAAAAATTAAATAAAAATGAAATATATTAAGAAAAAATGCATATTATTTTTAAATTGCTTAGTTTTTAAAATAAATAACCATATAAAATAAAAATCTTGTGGCCTTGTGCTTTAGCAACAACTCTCAACGAATTCTTAAATGGTTTAAAGAAGCTGATAGCACTGATGACCTTCCAAGAAGTGGCAGCTCTACCTATGAGTGATGAGATGATTGATTCTGAATCGAATGTCTTAACTGAGAACCTCCATATCAAGCAAGGGTTGGTAGTCCAGTTAAAAGTCACTTTAGAGATAGAACGCGTTCCTTTTGCCCAGTATTCGGGTCCCACGCAGGATTTTTACGGACTTTAAAATGTTATCCTTAGCCCCAACATCAAACTGGCCAGAGGAGTCACCACCACCTGTTCTCGGTGCAGTTAGTAGCGTGTGACCTATTCGTCTGAAAGGTCTGATTGGTCATCAAAAAGCTGTCTACCAGTATTCATCCCCCCCGGGGGTTGACTCAGGTGAACGCCTGGGAAGTACTGGTTAGGATCTCTACCTAGGCAGTTTCAACCACGGGGGTATATAATTTGACTTCACAGGACTAGAGCCCGAGTATTGTACTCAGGTTGGTTCAGGCTTGGCAGGGACCGTACTGGTACTGTCGTGTCTGTTCCTTCGGCTGTGGTGGAGCTATATTGGAGATCGTCGACTAAGTTCTCGGAGGTTTGACTCCATTCAGTTCTCGTGGAGGGGACTGAGAGAGTGGACAGAGCACTCACTAACAATAAAATTTTGCCGATGGAGTGGTGCCCAGAGGCAGGGTGGCATTTTTAATTTGCAACAATTTAGTTCTACCCAATGCATTGTAAAAGCCCGGCGGGGACTGCGGGGGTTGCGCCCGTGAGAACAAGGTCCCACGGACGACGGATATTCCAAACTCTGTATGGGTCCCGTATAATGAGGACCTGGGTCGGAGGTCCTTCGTCTGGTGTGTCTGTGTCTGTCTACCAGTATTACACAGACTTTCTTCCCTCAAAGCTTTCCACAGAGTAAGGAGGACTGCGGATCTGGACGCCCAGTGTTCCAAGCTCTATTCCGCTACTGAAACCGCTAGTTTGGGGACTTACAACCAATCCCTCCTTGGTCCAACCCTGTGAAACGATCTTTCCTTAGGTGTTCTGGAGCTACCAGGCCCGTGATGTTGCGTCCTCAGAGTCGCTACCGTGATAGTAAAGTCAGTATATGCAACCCATGGAGGTAAGAAAGGAGGGGCCAACTCCGCACTACAAGTGAAGCACTGCTCCGAGGCTTCGGTCTCCAGATGGGTCGTTTTTTATTTACATTCAGGAGCTCCCTTGACACAGCTTTGATAGTATTTCGACACACGACGGTTCCATACAAATCGAAAAACGGGAAATTTCTTTTTTTTCCTTTGGCTTGTATTTTCAGATTGATTTTAGAATTTATTTTACCTTCATAGCATTTTCAGTTTTGAAACAAAGGGTGCACAAAATATCTATTTCTCCATCTTTACTATCATGGCCACAGAAGGTATGAATTTTTTTACGACACTTTTTGCATACAAGTGCATCATTCGTTTCCTTTAAACACACAAATCAGGTATCAGAAACGGAAATATCTTCGGTAAGCATGTCTTCATCATGTTGGTTTAATCCACTATCGACTATAATCTAATCCATATTTTTTTAAACAGGCTCTTTTTCTTGCATAAAATGGTTAGCTCCACCGTTTTCTATTGTTTGCACGCTTTCTATTGCTTTTTCTAGCTACTCCTCTCTATTTATATACGAATCTTAGATGAATTTCATACTTTACCGGTTTCTCATTTGGCATTTTATAAAGTGCCTAGGAAATATGTGAAATATTAATCGTTTCATACATTTCCGGCTAGTTTTAGTCATTACATACGATGCTTAGGCATTCTATAGAATGCCGGATATAAAACACTGCCTGCAACATATACTATATAAAAGAGAGATAGTAGAAGTAACATAAATGCTAAGAATTTTTATTACAAATTTTCAAACACATGATTTTTTAGATGTTATCTACTACTTCGAATATGCTATAACATGCTGTGTTTATTGCTGGTGATTTTGACTGCAGGCTTAGCACCGTCCGAAGACTTTTGCGATATAATTCTTAGATTAAATGAATAGATGTGTAATCTATTACGGCAAAGTACCTCAAAGAGTTATACTCCTAAGAAGAGGGATGGTGTCATGGAGGATTTTTTTATAGGAAACTAGCCCATATTTACATTATATCAACATGGGTAAACACCCGTGCAACAAGCAACTTCCGCCGCATTTTCGCAATTAAAAAAGAAGATATTAGTTTTAAAACTTAATAATTTATATTGAATCAAATGCTTAGTATTAAAAGAAGGGTACTATTCCGTTTTGAGGACCGTAAAAAAATTGCAGCGAAAATGTATATGCAAAAGCGCCAAATCTAGCAAACGCGCCCATTTAACAGCGCGCCAAATCTAGGCTGATTTCAGATTGCGTAAGTTTATATAGTTCTATATTTCTTAAGACGCCATTGAAATACTAGTTTAATTTTTAAATCCTTTTTTGATATTCTATGGATTTAACAATTTGGGAATTTCCATTATGAAAAGTCTGCAGTAGAATTTTGGGTAAAGTGCAGAATCACCCACTGCTTGACGCGATTTTAAGAAATGCACATACTCGGTATCCATGTACACATCGACCTATTTTCACTTTAAAAAAAAAAGTCCCAGAATTGCACAAAAATGGCACTGCGCACACCCTTGACTTTATCTATGTACACATCGACCTATTTTCACTTAACAAATAAAAGAAAATTGACAAAAATCCAGTTGTTTTATGCTTGTAAAATGCGGCAGACAAATAAGTGGACGATTCTGTACTTTACCGAGAATTTTTTCAAAGAAAAGGCATCATTCATTTTAGAAAATTATGTTTGAAATACCAACGAGATGAAATTATGCTTTAGCGATAACTCGGTAGCGAAATAGCGATGCAGACATCCATTCAGTCATGTTTAGCTGTTTTTATATAAATTATAATAATAAAAAAGTGTTATATGAAATTAACCTTTCATCTAAATTAAAACATCAATCTTAGAAAGAAAGTTATTTACTATTACACTTCCTTTCTTGCATTAAGGTTGCCGCAATTATTTTTTGGCGATTTTTTACGGCCCTCAAAACCGAATAGTACCCAAAAAAAAAAAAAAAAAAAAAAAAAAAAAAGATTAAATGAACAGTAACTTCAAAGACAAATCATGTTTTATAGTTTTAGTTTAACGTGCTTAAAATACATGACATTACTTACATAGTTCGATTATCTTTATTAGATATTGTATAATATTTTACCTAGCAACAAACTTGGAGAATTTGAAATAATTTCTACTACATTTGGCATTAATGATCGAATTATAAGAATTTAAAAAACTATTAAAATTCCTTAACGCGCCCAGGCCTTCTTAGTCAAGAGACAAATAATTGATCAGTGGATAGAACGATAATTCCCAATGAATGTCTAATCCCAAGTGCTAAAATATTTTAAAAAAAGTATAGTTTGAAAATTTTTTATTACAGTTTGATACTTCAAAGATGAGTAAAATAAAAAAAATAATAATAAATTAAAAATAAAATATAAGATGTCATACAAATATAGCATTACAACTAAACTCAAAAGAATCTCGGTTTTAAAAGCATTTATTTTTTTAGCTTCAAATGGCATAAACACATTTTTAAAAAAACCTGAAAGAGTTCAGACTCTTTACTCTCGCCCAAAGGGGTCCTCTTAAAGTTTAGTTTAATTAATAAGCAGAAATTTTGAATAGAGACGGCCCAGATGGAAGAGAAAAACATTTTACAAGATACTAGATGAAAAAAAACTTGATTTACATTTTGGCAGCTGAAGAAAATGGTTCGGTAGTTAAATCATAGAAACTAGTCCCGAAAATTTTGTTAATATAACGCTGATTTTTGTTGTTTGACTTCTAAAATAATGCTAGATCAATATACATTTAAGATTATATATCTTCTATATTTATACAGCGTTATATATCTTTTATATATTCGAAAAGAAAAAAAATATATGAGAAAATTCTATAAAAATACTTATTATTTTTAATTAGCTATATCATGAATTAGACGCATTTTTATTTAACTGAATCATATTCAAAAGTTAAAAAATAATAGTCATTGCTTTTATATAGCTTAGATTTTGTATCAGCAGCAAAGACTTACATTTTGAAAGATGACATACATTTTGTGAAATAGCAACAGACTTGAATGAAAAGTTAAACAACGCATTAAAGTGAAACAATGCTTTTGGAGACTAGCAGCCCTTTTGGGCTAAAAATTCAAACCTTTAAGTCAGTTGCAACCATTTTAAATAAAACTAAATATATTCAATTCACATATCAGTTTTATTTAAAATTATCTATTAAAATTTATCTAAATAAATATATGAAAAGCATTGCAATCTATATCTATTAAATTTCATCATTATTGCTCGCTTTTATTTTATATGCAGACAATGAAATTCGGAAATTTTATGATACATATGCTATCGATAAAACTTTGCAATCGATTTCACAACCTTGTATTATAAATGTATATTTGCGGTATAAAATAATGCTTGGTGCAAAATATTGATAAAAAGTACAAATAAAATAACTTTTTAAATAATTCGCCTTCTTACATTGGTGATATCGTATGCTTACTTTTATAACATGGAAAATAAATTTTAAATCCCGATATATCGTCAGTTAACAACGTATTGTCTTTATCCTGGTCTTTCTTCTCAAAGGACAGGATTTTACAGTTCACTTTAAAGAATAACAGCTATGGGAGGTTAAAAAAATGAAGATAAATATACTTACATATTTATTCCGAACTGTTACTAATCCTCCGAATTTATGCATAACAGCACGGATTTTCTCATAATGCCAACATACATCCCATTGTAAAGAAGACGATTCCATCTTTGATTCCTTCAAAAAACGTAATTATTCTAAAGAGCTGAAACTTATATTGAATCTTGCAAAGACTGAAATTTATTTGCAGAGCAGCATAAATATGACGAAATCGAAACAGAAACTGGAAAGACTTTTAAAGCGAAAGAAAGTGGTAAACTAAATCCAGCCCGCATAAATAACATTTAATCTATACAAAATATTTATTCTATAAAATCTCGACAATATGCCACTTTAAAAGAAAAATTACATAGTTTTAAAAACTCGCTTACCTAAAGCGTAGAATCGTCTTCTGAAATTTTAAATATAATAGCAACGTCGAAGACAAACGTAATACGTATATTTTAATAAGTTGGATGCGAGTGTTGAGTTGCCTGCATAAAAGACTTGCAGCTTGAAAAACAAATTTGCTTCAGCTTTCTGATGTGTAAAAAATGTCCGGGTAGAATTAGATAACAGAATTTTGGTAACAGTCATGCGACTGTTATCACTTGTTAAACGCAATTAGAAGTCGTATTAAACCTTTAAGTCAGATAACCTTGATAACTGCGTTTGTTTTTCACAGGCATGCGCCACATTTTAACTGATACAGCACTAAATTGGGTATGAAAACAAGATATTAAATATTTGCTGCCAAGGTTAAAACGGCTTGATATTCTTCCAAACAACACGTCTTAATATCAGTAAAACTAATGTTAATATTTACGCTTCATATCTCAAAATCTTCTCTACAATAAAAAAAAATCTGATGTGTACACCACGTGACTTCCTTGCACGGAATATTAAATTATACGCATTTTTTCTTGCATTTCATTTAAACTTATTGGATTGAATTAAACCCATTTCATCGATAGCGCATAAACCACAATAGAATAAATGCACTCTTTCAAATTCACTATATTTGTTTAGGCCAACCAGCGGCGGTAAAGTCGCTGAACACTGTTAGTTCAGTCCGAGGTTCGAATCCCGCGAACGGGCTGGCTGCATGGGCGTTTTCGTAGGTTTTCCCCATGTGTAACGTGTATACGAGCTAGTTTCCCTTAGAAAGTCCTCCACGAAGGCATCCTTTCCCTTAGGCAGATAGCCCTAGTGTGCTTTGCCGTAATCTCAGTAAACCAAACCAATCATTATATTTGTTTACCATAGCGACACTCTGGCGCTAGGTTCACTTAACAGCGTTACATTTCGTTCATATTGTAACTCAGAATGCCTATAAATTTATATCTTTTGAAGAATTATCTAATCGTTGCCACATGTTCTATTCAAATACTATAATAAATCTAAAACGATGTATAAAAGAAATTAAGCAAACAAAGCAAAAAAGAAACTGTTTTTCACAGATGATTCAGTATTTCTCATTCAATTAATTCAGTTCTCACTTCCCGACAAGGCATAAAAACTCAAAATATCTATATTAAAAATTACGAAGTAAATCTTAAACACTTATTTCCTCGAATAAATTCCAGAATGGATTAAACATGATTTAATTCGCAATAATAGAAGAAGGCGTCATCTTTGTTACTGCGAAGCTTAGTTCCTCCAGATTGGCAACAAATCCGCTATTTTTCCAAGTTTGAAACAAGGAGGTTAGAAATAGGAGGTCTATTCTAACCTCCTTGGTTTGAAATGTAAAATATCATGCCCGCCATCGCAAAATTCATTAGGCTTTAGCTGCACTTAAATATCTTTTAAATTGTTGATAACTCCACAAATATTGCATGCAGATTTACTAAAGGCATAAAAACCTTAACCGGAAGATAAGAGCAACATAATTCAATCATTTTTAAAGCAAAAAATCCACAACTTACAAACATATAAGTGTAAAAAAACTGAGATCGCTGAGCCGGTTAACAGAGTGGATATGTATATACATATATTTAATACGTTTGGTGCGGCCGATTGCAACCAAAATACGAGGTGCACATCTACATGTTATAGCAGTGCTATATACAAAATTTCAACGTTCTGTGGCTACTCGTTTTTGAGTTATGCGAGATACGTATACATATACGTAAGCACAGACGCCACGAAAAATTCTCTTCAGAATACATTTTAAATCAGTTTTATAATTTTTTTGGGGGAAAAGATTCTTTTATTCTGTCTTTACGTACAGATGTCACGTAAAAACATCGTTAAATTGCATTCGATAGCGGTCAAAATGGATATTTTCCTTGAAATAGGATGCTTGAAAATTTTCGCGATTGCAATACTTCCTTTTTACTTTGTACAAGGAAGTAAAAAGGATAAGTCCTAGAACTACTCTGTTGGCCAATACTGATTTTAAAATATTAAAGTACGAAAGAATTTCGGCAATATAAAACAATTTTTTGAAAACTGAACCTTTCAGCGAACGGCTGGTTTGGTTGAGGGTTAATTAATCAGAGTACAACATACATTACAGGGATATATACATTAAGTCAGATATCTTTGTGTAGAAACTGAAACAACAGAAACTGGTTCGCATTTAAGTCATACATTACAAAAACTACGAAAACCTCACAGCCCCCCCCCAGGGCCAAATTCCTGCAACGTTACCTTAAATTCTCAGCTTAAAAAGCCTTACAATAGCCAAACGGGTTTCTATTCTTATCGTGGCAACTGCAGAATAAACTGACTCCGCTCCGTATTTTTTCCCTTCCCTTCTTCGGTCATTGAACCTGACCCCTTCATAAGATCACCGATGAAGGCCTTTAGCTAACGCTGTTACGACAGAACCTGTATCGACTTTTCCCAAAGCCAGTATGGAGGTAAGAAAGACTTCCTACCTCCATGGTCTTACTAAGACTCGCTTTATTATCTGGTTTCTCTTTTTCACTCCCATTCACGCTGGCGCGTGCCGGGCTGCCTTCCCCCTTTTGATTCTTTACCTGTGTTGATGACTCGGCTGGGGGCTTGCGCCCCGCGCAGTTACTCAATACAGGTAACTACTTCTTTGTCCGTTTATGGAGGACAATCTCCTATAGAACTCTTATCGGCAGTCTTTCATTATTTCTTAGCGTATGCTTTCTCTCAGCCATTTCAATTTATCAACGATGATGTGGAGGTTATTGCATTAAGTTGCAAAGGTACTCCGTAATAAATATGCCTTGATCCTTGATCCCAGGGCCAAATAGACAAGAAATACTGGTTACTGTTTGTTCAATCGGGTTCTAATCTGGTGTCTAAATTGTTTAAATTGTTGTTTTCTTGGTTTTCGCGTTGTAAAATGTGGATATCAGCTAATTTTACTTGGAAAATCCTCAAGGCAGGAATCACTTCTCTCAGGTAGAAAGCTCTGGCATACTTTGCTAGCTCATTAAATGCCCAATTCGAAAACCTCACGCAATCAGCCCATTTGCCGAGAATAATTTGCAACGAATACCGGTTTTGCTTGTTTTCCCTTAATCGGCTACTGCTTGACCTCTCGCAGCAAAATAATTAAAAGAATTAATGATCTTGTCAAGATGACCTTGTCCTTGATATTTTTGTTATTATTAAAGCTTCAAAATGTAATAAATGCTATCTTTTTCATAAAAAGTGCACTGGCGAAACTAGAGCTTTTATCGCTCGGGACGGCAAACCCTCAAATTCATCGATGATATCGTAGAGGTCTACTTGACTGCTCCAGTTGATGTCACGCAGACAGTACAGAAATATTTCTTAACGAAGAATAAACATCTATAGATCTAAAATACACTCTTTTGCAAAAAAATCGAAGCACCATGAAGGATAGAAAACAACGAACACTCATTTATTTCCAACTGCACATGATAAAAAGACAGCATGTAGATAGGAAAAAAAAAAAAAAAAAAAAAACTCGTCCATTCTCTCCTGTTGCCAGAAAAAAGAAGGAGCAACAAGTTCCCTTTTATTCATGTAAAATGCATGTTTCATTATCTGATGCTGGTATCTGGACAGCATACAGGGATAGAATTAAATAGAACACGATCAGGGAGTAATTCGTTTTGTTTTAAAGTTCTGAGTCTAAATAAAATTAATGATTCAATGCTAGCTTTATATTTAAAGCTATTGATGAGAATGTTACTATATGAATGAGTTAAAAAATAATAATTCTTTTTTAACCTAAAAGGGACGTTAGTCATGAATGGGATGTTAGTCACGAAACGGCAGTTTGTGTCGAAACGCTTAAATACGTTGTATTACTTTTCAAATTATTGCCGCCAAATATTATCGCCCCGTATTATATTTAAAGAAATTAAATAATGAAGAATCTGCACGAATGTATGCATGTTTTTCGCATTAGAAAAAAAAAAAAAAAACGGTAACTAGAGCCATTCAATTTTGAATAAAGGAGTCCTCCACCCGAACATGTGCACCTTGAAGTCCATATTTTGAATTTCGAGTTTGTTTTATGATCCATTTCATATTTTGTTAAACTTTAAAGAATTTTTTATTTCATTAACAAACTCAACGACTTCAAACCGAGCAGTGGCAACACTCTACAGAAAAGAGCACTTTTATCTCCAGGGCGAGAGACTGTCTATCGGAAATTCTAAATATTTTGTGATTTTGCTGTCGAAACGAATTTTATGTGGCGCAAGCAAAAAAATTAAACATTGTTATGATGAATTGAGACAAGACTGAAATAAACAGGAAAATGTATGCCAACACTTAACAGTGCAGACAAAAAAAAGAAAAAAAAAAAAAAAATAGGATTTAGTAGGAGTGAGTGCAACAGCAGACTTATAGACTGCAAGCTCATCAACAGAATAAAAATCCTTATCAAACCCTGTGACTGTGAAAAATCTGAACAGACTTTTTAGTTCAAGGGGGCCAACTTGCCCAAAAGGACTATTAATTTCGTTTTGGCATTTTGCGTTGAAATGTCGGTTCACTTTTCAAGTTTTTGCCATCAAATATTATCGCCATGTGTTGTATTTAAAGAAATTAAATAATGAAGAATCTTTATAAATTGTTTGTGTGTATGTTTCTCGCATTATGATCAAATAACGATACAAACAGGCATCAAATTTTGAATAACGTAAGCTTCCACCGAATATGGCCATCTGGAAGCAATAATTTAGAATTTGAAATTTGTTTTATTATCGATTTCATATTCTGTAACACTTTACGAATTTTTGATTAACGAACTCAACGATTTCAAAGCGAGCAATGGCAACACTGTACGAAAAAAAAAAAATATATTTTTATCTCCAGCGCGTGAGACTGTATCAGAAATTCTAAACATATGCTCATTTTAAAATTATTTTGCGATATTGCTGTTGAATTGAATTTGATGCTTTAAGTGCAGAAAACATGATATTTAATAAATAAAGGTAACACACAAAATGTTAAAAAACGCCCCTTTGGGCGTAATGTGTAAAATCTTAAAGCTTTCAGACTTTTTTTTTTTTTTTTAATTTTATTATTTTTATTTTGTCTTTCTAGTCTGAATGACGCGTTATCAATCAACTTATTAAAGAACTGTTATTTATTTATTATTTTTTTAAGTTTTGCAATTTTAAATTAATAAAATTTACAGGCATGCGACACAGGCATCGCATTACTCTAAGACGACGCCCCTACATGTAACATGTGCTATATACGTGCCAATTTTTTTTTTTTTTTTTTTTTTTTTTTTTTTCTCGTGTGTAG